AGAAGGGTCTCAAAACTGCACCATTGCCTTTATAAGTGAACTCTTCACTTTTACTAACAAAAGGTGTGCAATATGGCCAAATTTCTGATAGAAGGCTTGTTGTCTTAATGAGTTCATGTTTTTTTGTTTGGCTGTTAAATCTTATAAATTATTTTATGTAAAGAGCAATCAAACTTCTTTAGGTAGTGTAGAAACATAGTCAGATGGTAAATGATCTCCTTCCTTCTATTGGATATTCTCTGATTCAATTTTTGACTTGTTAGGTGACTCGCATTTGGCACACATGAACGAAGTACAAACTAGACATTCTGTAAGTTCTATGAAAGCTTTTTGTTAAGATATCTTTAGGGCAAATATGTTATGTAGTCTATATGCATGTTTTATGAATTAAAAAAAAAAGAAAATGGTTAGTAAAAGCAATATAAGAAATAAAAAGGAAACATGTTAGCACAGAATATAATAATATGATCCTAAACTTTAGGTCAATTCTAAAAGGTAAATGAGACATGGCTCTATCTATAGGTTAATATGATAAGGTTAACTATATGTGTTTTTGGTTAATTTTAGAAGTTCCCAAATTGTTCCTAACATTATTGTCCATCACAAACTAGTAACGCATCCCAACCCTCACCCATTATAGGTTACAAATGGAAAAGGCTCAATTTGAGTGAGAGTATTTTATTAGCCTATGCAGAGACATGAAATTTCACGAAAGCATAGGTACTTTACTCTCTTCTAAGGGATGGAGTTCGGGTGTAGAGCTTATGTTATGTATATGCACATGAATGAAAATATATAACATGAAAGTAAAACATAAGGAGCAAAACTAAAGTTTGTAAATTTATTAAAGTAGGCTTGGATAATATGAAATCACTTACCAGCCTAACTCTCTATCCCTAGTGGAGTTACCAAACTATCAAAATGTATAGATTTATAAATCTATAGCTAAACTTAATTTTAAGAATCGACACCAATATTTTTTTAAGGTATGATTGATCACCTAATTGAATATTTACCTTTTTAAAAAGAAATCCCAAGCTTAACTTAGATATCTTTAAAAGGAAGATTTTATGTCTATGAAATCAAGACTAGATCTAAGAGTATAGTTACGTGTGAGAAAGATTATAGCACATTCACAACGCCCATCAAATGATGGTACTAGTTTGATTTCATATTATCCAAGTCTTAAAATGAGTTTGTAATTTACCTAGTAAATTTAATATTGGAAATTGTTCTTAAAATTATTCAAATCGTTTGATAGAAATTTAAAACAATTCTTTCACCTCAAGAGTATTAATGGAAACTTGTGTTTTACTCTGAAGATGATTTGTCATTGAATTTATTAACATATTTTTTAAGAAAGTAATTTTTTAAAATCAATCAATAAAATCTTTCAATCGTTTGGTAAGATTTTATATAAATGCATATCTCCTAATTATTTGACGAGATTTTTGTTGAAAATCTTTTTATGAAATTTTTTAAAAACATATTGTCATTAAATCCTCTAATAGTTTGGTAAGATTTAACGAAAATTTGAATCCTTCAATCGTTTGGTAAGATTTTATATCAATGCATATCCCACAATCATTCGGTAGGATTTTTGTTAAAAATCTTTTTATGAAATTTTTAAAAACACATTGTCATTAAATCCTCTAATAGTTTAGTAAGATTTAATGAAAAATTAAATCTTCCTATCATTTGGTAGGATTGAAAATTTATTTTTCAAAAATTGATTATGAAATTCTCTAATCATTTGATAAAATTCACAATTTAAAATTTTTAAACCCATAAAAATCCTCTAATAATTTAGTAGAATTCATGAATTTTTTTAAAAAATATTTTTTAAAAATATCAATAAATAAATAAAAACAAATAATAAAATTAAAAATATACAAAAAATTAAAAATAATTGAAACTTAATATAAATAACATAAGATAAAAATAAAAAATGAAATAAAACAAAAAAAAAAGGTTCGGCTCGGCTCGACTCAAAGAAGACTTGATTGCAGAAACACTGGTCAACTGGAGTGGCTTGTTATTATGGCTCGACTTGACTTGAGTTCCGATTGCCAGAAGCAGGTCATAGATTAAAGCACTATGGATCGGATCAAGTAAGTGAAAAACGCGTGGATCCTAAGCTTATTTAACCTCTAAAATGCTACCATTTAAGCCTGAGTATATAAGGTCAACTTTTTTTTCTTCAAAATTTTCCTATCCACTCTCTCTTTTCCTTCTTTTTTCTCTGCTTTCTCTCTCTAGTAGAGGATGAATCTTCAAAAAACACCAGTTGAATTCGTTAAAAACTAAAAAAATCTCATCAAAATATGTGTTTGTGCTAGAAAAGTTGTTAGAAAAGATGAATTTCATCGAAAAAATTTTGTCAGAATCAAAAAAGTTTTCAAACAATTCCAAGAAAACAAAAAAAAAACTTGTCAAAATTCCCACGCAAACCCTTTATTTTCTAAAACCCTCCAGCAACAACTGATCAAAGCTTTCCAATTCCAAAAAAAGTTTTTACTAGAAACATTAATTAAATTTTTTTTTTTTTGTGAGCTCTTTGTTTTTTTGTTTTTTGCTTTGTATCCGCTCTATGCCTTTTTCTGTGATGATTGGAAGCAATTTATAGGATAGTTTCCCGATTCAATTGGTGTTGTGATAAAAATCTAAGTTCTTCAAAGAAAATCCACTTTATCACCAAAAATTAGGCTTTTCCCAAAAAAAAAAAAATCTTTTCCCAATTAACTTCTTTATTAAAACATGGATCATCTTTAATCATAATCAATCTACAACTTTGCCAGCCATTTAATTTTTCTTCAATTATCATTTTTTTAAAATTATTTTTTAATTTTAAAAAAATCAAACCAAATTCTATAAAATCAACCCCGGGTGTCTACATACTATTTCCCCTAAATACCTTCCTCAACTATAACAATCACAGAACATTTATTTGGACATCGCCTGCCCAATTTACTATCCAAAACAGTTGCTTATACCATCATTTGCTTCCCTTCCTCCATGACCTTCTCTCTTCTTGGAAGAGCTGCCACTATCTAAGCAGTTTCAGACAGTTACAATGGAATAAATCTTGATGGAAGAAGGCTATTCATGAGAAGCGGTTTGGCTTGGATTGTGCTTCTCCACACAAGATTTTGGGAGCTCCTTATCATACTAGGCCTCTTTGGAGGTTTGGTGGTTGGTTTAGCAGTAGCACCAAAGATACTGTGGAGGTTAGGAATCTTCCCAAAAGCATTAGGATTCTTGGGTTCCTAGGCATACCTTTCTGTGTGAATTTTGCACATCTAATGGTCGTGGGAAACTTGGCAAACGTTATATCAGTATTGGAGAGTGAATGTTATGGACTTGATTCACTATGCAAAGCTAAAATGCTTATTGAAGGAAGACGACAAGCAGCCTTGGTTATGTCTTCGTTGAGTAACATGGGGTTTAGGCCAGTTGAGTGTTTATTCGAATTGAGAATGTGCAGGGGCATCTGTATGTGGGAAATACCTGTCTTGATATCAATATACTCTTTGGTGCTTGTTTTTGAAACAATCATGATTAAGGGAATCTTGAGAAAAAAATCTTCTGATTAAGGGAATTTCTTTAAATGGGCATTCTGGAAGTACCGCCCTCAGGCCAAAGAGATCTGGTTAGTCATCACTGATCCAAGAAAACGCAAATTTTCCTTCTTGGGTGTTGAGAGGCAAATTTATTTGTCTTCTATGTTGCTCAAGCTATCAATAGTAGATAAATGCAATCCTCATAATTTAAAGCACCTCTGCAATTGATACCTATTTCGGAAGGATCAAATAACGCTTCAAACGTGCATTTGGTCGTTCCAAAGATTAAATTCACGATGAATTAAATATTCCCTAACATTATGGAAGGATCTCAAACCCACATGGTCATTTCTATTCACAGATGCATTGGAGACCACAAAAATTCACCAGTGTGCCTCCAATCTGCCAAAAACAACCTTCCAATACCACCATGCTTTTTTCTGCAGCTTGCCAATGAACGCTTCATCATAGCTTAGGAATGACCAAAATTGGGAGCATGAACACTCCATCATAGCATGCCAATGTACAAGCTAACATATCTTCGTTTGAATGACAATAGTTAAGTAGGAAGTCATTAAATCTGTCTGACAACTCAAAAACAAATTAGCAAATGAAATTTGAGCCAAAAAAATGGAAAGCCAAGGATAATCTATGTTCATTTGCTTGACCTGAAACCTTCAAAGGAGCCATTTTAAAGCTGTCAAAATGCGCCCAATAAATTCAAATGGCAGCATACGAAGATGACAAAAGTTGGGACTAATAGAACATACATTTATTAGATTCTAAATACAAATCAACCATTAAGACTGAAATCTTCAATTTCCATAAGTCATCTCAGCAAGCAGCCAGCACAAGGTCCTCTGTCAAGCGCACTTGTTGGAGGTTCAGATGAATGTCCTTTACAAAACTTGAAAAGCAGAGGATAGGATATATCCAAAAGGTTAAAAAGGGGAATTTCTTTTCTTTTCTGTTAATAGCGCAATGTTTATAATATCAGAAAATTAACCAGGACATAAAACTTATTATGAGAATTCCATAATTTAGTAAAAAAAAAAAAACATATCTTTTATATGGGCCTTAAAAAATTTTCCTCCGAGATTCAATTCTGAAAACAACAAAAAGATGGTCCACAACCATGAATTAAGACATCATAGAAGAGATTATGATGGATTCTATATCACCAAACTGCAAACATGATAAGCAAATTGCAGCAGTTGAGAACCAGTAACAACGGAACCATCATGCAAAGCATATCCGAAATTTAGAGAGAGAGAGAGAGAAAAAAAAAAAAAACCAAGTTGAATCCCGCCAAATGTTCGTGAGAAAAAGAATGCACATCACCAAGCACCACATTACATTGTGAAATTTTAAGAAATACTGGTCCATTTTATACGAAGAGGAAAAAGAAAGGATAAGGATTCAAGGCGAGACGTACTATTTTTACCTCTGTTACTATTAATATAAGCTACCCATTCATTTCAATTTCAACTTGATTTTACTGTCTGCACACTTAATATATAAATTAAGATTTAGAGGCATGATGTGTATTGCACCTCTATCACCTATCAATAAAAGGTAGGCATTTGGCTCAAACACAACTCTGTTTTATATTGCCTAAATGACTACTCTTTTCTGCAAATTCCATCACAGGTTATTGTATAGTGATTAGTAATGAAGTGCAGCCTGACCAGCTTAGGTTGAATCCAATGATCCAATCAACAACTTGAGTTCCCAACAAAGAAAAACCACAACAGAACCATCATTATTTCTAGCTATTAGCAACAAATGCTATGAATCTTTCCTATTTTGGTATTTGTCCTCTGGAAACACTAACATATCAAGATAAACTGATAATTAACAAATAAAAACATGAGAAACAAATGAAACAAGGTCTCCAACATTAAATGGTCCATAATTATAGAAAGCAATTTGACATGTCAACTATAGGAAAAAATATACACAATAAGCACACACCAAGAAACTTATTGGCTGATATTCTCTGTGGAATTGTCATCATTCTCATCATCGTCATCCCTCTCCCCCTTATCAGCATAATCCTCTTCCTTCATTTTTGCAATCTCTGCTTGTGCCCTCTCCAAAATCTGCTTCTTCTGCTCCTCCAATTCCTTCTGAAAATCCATCCTCATCTTCTCCAACTCCTTCGTATGCTCCCTCTTACTACTCTCAATCTTTTCATATATCTTTCCAAACCTTTGCACTGAATCCGCCAACATCCTCATTGAATGCAAATCGTTCCCTTCCCCTCCCATTCTCGACCCTCCAACTTCCACTTCTTCATCATCCTCCTCCATCTCTGACTCCGTAGGACTATCCCTCATCTCATCAAAACCATTAGACCTATCCAAATAAACCTGCGGATTCATAAAAACAAACTCCCCCGAATCCACTCCACAAGCCAACCCTGACTCTTTTTGCCTAAACGACGAAGAACCCAACCCCATTAACATCTCCATTTTCCTGAAAAACACCCATTTACTCGAATTCAACCCCATTTTTTCAGCTTTCGGCTTCTCTTTCTTAAACTTCCTCTTCAACCCATCGATCATTCGCCTACATTGCCCTTCATTTTTCCCACTTTTCAAAGCATCACTAACTTTCTCAGCTACATCAACCCAATCTTCACCCCTCAAACTCCTCCTTCCCAATTGCAAAAACCTATTTCCCCAAACTTCTAACAAAACATAAATTTCTTGCTGGGTCCAATCATAGGTACTTTTGAAGCTAGCTCTACGATCGGGCGTGATTTGATAGCAGGGAACTGAAGTTCTCAACTTTTGCCGTTTTGGGTATCTTTCAAAACGCTCGCTTTCATTAATACGATGGTAATAAACATCTGGATCATCGTTGTTATCGCCCTCCACGTTGTCGTTTTCTTCTTCCATTTCTTCTTCTTCATCGACCACTTCTTCTGGTCCGTAACTATATACATGGCGAGTTCTAATAGAACGAGGGTATTGAGGATGGCGATTAAAACTAAAAGAGTAGGGCTTGGTTGGGTATCTTGAATCGTCTTCAATATCATCCATTCCCCTTTTAGGGTTTCTTATTGATAGAGGTTTTGGTTTTGGGAAATTTGATTGGTTTGATATTGGAGGTTTAAGGTAATTAAAAGGAAAGAAAATTGAGCTTCCAAGGTTAGAACGAGCCCTAAATTGAAACTTCTAGGGTTTGGATTGGGAAACTTTCGGGTTGAACTTCCCCATCCTTTTCCTTCCTTTTCCTATTATTCCTCGTCTCCTTGTCGGATCGACCCAAACTCCGAAGAATGTTGACAAGGAAGTGGGGTCCATTTTAAGTGGATATGAGGTCGGGCCACTTATTGCCGAGCTGACAATGATTTTTTTACTGTAGTTTTTTGGTCAAATTTTACAATAGATACCTGTACTTTAGTTAAATGATAAAATTAATCTATTTACTTTAATATGTTTAAATTCAATTCATATATTTTAAAAAATTATTAAATTTAGTCAAACTATTAACAATTAAAATTTTTTTGCTAAAATTAATGATATGATATTTTGATTTTTCTTACTTAACGTTTTCATTTACATGGTTGTTAATTTTACTAACATGTCATATTTACATGATAAAAAAATGATGATGTGGCACATACTTTTTTGTCACATAAACTTTTCTTAAATTATATAATTTATCTCTATATTTTAGTTAAATGGTAAAATTAATCTTTTTATCTTATGTATGTTGAAATTTGATATTTATATATCAATTAATTATTAAATTAAAATTTGACCTAAAATAATAAAATAAAACTAAAATAAAATATAAAAAAAAATTTCAATACAAATAAGTTGAGTTGTAATAAAATTAATGCATAGGTCCACATGTTAGTTACACCAAACCCATATTTTAAAACGACGTTGTTTTAATCTATTATAAAAATAAAAATTATTTTTTAATTTCTCTCTTTTCCTTTTTCTTTCATCCTCATTTTCTTTTTATTTCTCTCTCTAAGTCTTATTCAACAAACTCATATGTCAATGAAATTTTTAGAAATCAATTATCGAAAAATTCAACGATCATAAAAAAATTTTTTTTCTAAAAACTCAAAACTACCAATACCTAGAAATTGGCCACCAATGCCAACATTTTATATCATCGTTTAAAGCAAAACTAAACATAATATCCTAAAAATTTTAAATTTGAAAACTCTAGAAAAGAATTTCTAAAACAAAAAGTTACTTTTAATTGTTTTTGTTGATTGTCTTTATTTTTGCTATGCTAATTTACTTAATGCTATTGAATTCTTAAAATTTCTCTAAATGAATCTTTCAAAAAGTTTTCGTACTTTCTTTGTTTTTCAATTTTTGATTTTTTTTATTTTTACTTTGAAGTCTTAGCTTTCACCAATTGAACAATAAAAATAAATAAATAAATAATAAAACATTTTTAGGCTTTTAAATTTGGGCTTAAAATCTAATTTCACAATTAAAACCCAATTGATCTAAAGCTACTTTAAAACTTAATATTAAGAAGAAATTCAAAACTCATTTAATATCAAAATAATTTTCGGACAAAATGAGATCTTCACAATTACTTTTATTGTTGATTATGTATCTAGGTTTGATGGATTTGTTGATTATAGGTTTCTTGATCTAACTTTTATGTTTTTGTCATTTTTTAAAATTTTATTTATTATCTATTTTTTTATATTTCAAAAATATTTGAAAATAAAAATTAACAAATAAATAAAAAATATATAATTCAGTTTATGTTGGATTTATAATCTAATTTGAGGTTAACAAAATTTATTAAATCAAATCCAATTAATAGTTAAAATATCTAAAAAAATTATCTAAATATGAAAAAATATATCATTATCTAATTAATAATTTATTTTTTATGTGTTATTTTAGGTCAAGTCTTAAATTCGATAATTAATTGATGTATAATGATCAAATTTAAACACACGTTAAGGTAAAAGAACTAATTCTACTATTTAATCAAAGTACAAAGAAGAGTCGTACAATTTGAAAAAAATTAGAGTGAAAAAATGAAAACATGTCAAAAATTTTTGCCATATTATCATTTTGATCACGTGAATTTGACATGTTAATAAAGTCAACGACTACGTAAGTAAAAATATCACGTTAGAAACATTAAAATGTCACATTATCAATTTTGATAGAAAAAGTTTGAACCAATAATAAATTGACAAATTCGATAATTAATTGAAGTATAAGGATTCAATTTAAACACACTAAAATAGAGTGACTAATTTCATCATTTGACTAAAGTATGAAAATCTAGAGTGCAATTAAAATTTTTTTTATCTATTTAAAAATCAATGATAAATTTTACCATTTGGATATGTAACTTCCTTCCAATATATTTTACCTTTGATGGGATCAAGATAAGGTAATGACCCTGTTTTATGATTTTACTTATTCACTTTGTCATGTTAACAAAGTTATGCTTAAGTATGGGGATGGTTACATCATTTTCAGCATTTTTGTCCTCAAAAACATTGTCATAACGTCTAGATCCAGGGACCTATCGTTAGATATTGACTTGAGGAGTCGTCACCAATCTTTTTGTTTAGGTACGATTGACCACCTGACTGAATCTGTCCATTTTTAAAGAGAAATCTTAAGTTTGACTTAGGTATCTTTAAAAGGTAGATTCAATGTCTGCGAAATCAGAACTAAGTCTAGAAGTACGATTACGTGTAAAAAAGATTATAACACCTCCACAACGCCCATCGAAAGATGGTACTAGCTCGATTTCATGTTATCTATTAAGTCTTAAAAATTTTATCAAGTAATTAATTATTGAAAATTATTCTTAATTGACTATAATATTTTTGGTAAAAAATTAAAAAAATTGTCTTACCTCAAGAGTACACAAGAAAACTATTGTTTCTCTTACAGAGGCTTCGTCGTTAGATTGTTTAACATAAAAAAAATTCAAGAAAAGAAAAAAAAGAGTAATGCTTCCGCCTTTTATGGGAATCTCTTTTATTATTTTGTTTTATTTTAAAAGGATTCATGCTTTTATACAAGAAAAATTGATACTTTCAACTTTTCCTGAAAATACCTTTTATTGAAATTTTATCTTCAAGAAAAATTGATACTTTCAACTTCTCCTCGAAAATGTTTTTGAAATTTTTATTTTCAAGGAAAATTGATACTTTTAACTTTTTCTCAAAAATATTTTTTGATATATTTTTATTTTTAAGAAAAATTGATACTTTCAAATTTTCCTCAAAAATATTTTTTTGAAACATTTTTCTTTATTCATTTATCATTTTTATTCATTCAAAAAAAATTGATAAATAATGAATAAAATGAAAAAAATAGAAAAAGGATACCCAAAACAATTCGTGGCTCGACTCCGAAAAATCACCATGGCTCAGCTTTACACCCAAGAAACGGCTCGGTTTGGAGCTCAAATGGCACGGACTTAGACTAGGATAGAGGATCGAGTTGAGCGATCGAATTGAGTCACCCAGTGTTTGATGCGCGGATCCTTGAAACGGGTAAAAAAGAACCCATTTTTTTGGCTAAAATGACACCATTTTATCAAAGCTATAAAAGCCTTTTTTAGACTTTCTCTTCATTTTACGAGTGCTTTTTCTTTCTCTTTCTTTAAAATTTCTACTCGGTCTCTCTCTCTAAAAAGGGCGAAGGTTGGTTGGAAACCTCATAACTTTCTAGATTCCGATGAAATGCCACCATCGTCGCTATCTCTAGTCATCGTCGACCACCATATCGATGATCGTTCGAGCCCAAATTTCGATTAAAAAATCATTTTGGCCTCCTCTTTCACATGGTGTAATTAGTTTACCATGAAAACATCTATAATTTCGTAGATCAAGTTTTAGAAAACATGGACTCAAATGCTTTCCGACGTTGATGCTCCCCGACGTGTTCCTCTTTTCCTAGGTTATCTTGTCGATGACTTGGAAACCCCAAAACCCCTTGTGAGAGTAACTACCCGAAACCTAGAGAAGGCTTCTTCATTTTTAATTTTTCTTTCGATTTCTAACCTTACCTTTTTAGCTTGGCATTGGCCAGGGGTTATTGTGAATGGCTAAAAGTTTGTTGGAGATTTGATGAGCGTAACGACTGGTTTTAGGTGCGGTTAGATATGACTAGCCTACGATATGGGCAGTGGTTTAGCCTCGCTCGAGGTACGGGTATTGGTTCAATGAGGCGAGTGTCATAATATATAAATCTAAAAATCTATTGCTAGACTTTAACTTAAAGAGTGACCGTTAATCTTTTTTATTTATGTGCGATTGACCACCTAACCGAATCTGTCCTTTTAAAAAAAAAAATCTTAAGTTTGGCTTAGGTATCTTTAAATGGTAGATTCAATGTCTACGAAACCAAAACTAGATTCAAGAGTACGATTACGTGTGAGGAAGATTATAGCACCCTCACAACGTCTATTGAAAGATGGTACTAGTTCAATTTCGTGTTATCCATTAAGCTTTAAAAATTTTACCAAGTAATTAATTATTAAAAATTATTCTTAATTGACTCCAATACTTTTGACAGAAAATTAAAAAAATTCTCTCACCTCAAGAGTATACAAGAAAACTATTGCTTCTCTTGCAGAGGCTCTATCGTCGGATTATTTAATATAAAATAAAATCCAAGAAAAGAAAATGATGAAAAGAAAAAAAGAATGATGAATTGACTTTTGATATAAATCTTTTTTTTTATGAAAACTCATGCTTTTATACGAAAAAAATTGATACATTCAACTTTTCCTCAAAAATGCTTTTTCTTTAACATTTTATTTTTAAGAAAAATTGATACTTTCAACCTTTCCTTAAAAATGTTTTCTGAAAATTTTATTTTCAAAGAAAATTGATACTTTCAACTTTTTCTTAAAAATATTTTAAAAAAAAAATTTTTTCTCAAGAAAAATTGATACTTTCAACTTTTCCTTATAAATATATATTTTTTAATTTTATTTTCAAGAAAAATTGATGCTTTCAATTTTTTTCTTAAAAATATATTTTTTAAAATTGTATTTTTCAGAAAAATTGATACTTTCAACTTTTCCTTAAAAATATATTGTTTAAAAATTTTATTTTATATTTGTTCTATTCTTTTTTAAATTTATTCATGCAAAAATATTCTTAAAAATAAATAATCATATAAATAAATAAATACAAAAAAAAATCAAAACGGCTCGGTTGGAGAGTTGGCGCGGCTCGACTATAGACATAGAAAACTGCTCGAAGGCTCAGTTCGGAGAGAAATCGGCTCGGGGTAAAAGGTTTACGGAGTCGGTTGAAACG